CCTGTAGCACAGGCACTAGATCCTCAGCCCAGAGTGGACACGGAGGCTGCAGGTCACCTGTTTGGCCCTGGCTGTGAGCAGAAAGGAACCCCTTCCCTTAGGTCATAAGCATCTCCTTTCTGTAAGCCCAGAACTAGGACCCCAAGTACCTGGTGTGGTGAAGGCTGGATGAGGGAGAGGATGAGGACTGGATGGGAGGGTCCCCTACTAAAGTGGAATCCTCTCTAGAGAGCAGGCCCCTGCTGAGTCATCTTCATGTCCATACCACACCCAGGAGGTTATTTTGCAGATAACTGATACCCAGAATGCATAGTTTATTGACAATGTCAGATGGCAGCTGCTTTGCATGCCTGCACCATCAGGGCAAGGGCCAAACCCTCCAGTGCCAGTGTGTCCTGGTCAGGCAGCCCTTCATCTCTAGCACCCATGAGGGTGTGCCTCCCTCCCCAGGCCCAGAATATGTCACTAACTTTCCCTCTCTTAGTCAAAGGAAGACCATTGGAGGAAATTGTGTAGTTCTAGGTGTTTCCCTAGCGACAGCCATGGACTGGGTATATGGTAGACCATCCTTGCCCATGGGCATCTGGAAGCTCCCAAGACCACAAGAAATGAAAGCACAGACCCATCATCTCTTCACTGAGAGGAAAACATTGGCTTTTCCCTGAATGGTTAGACTGACTGATTCCTTTCCATGTGCCATTTTCATGGCAAGCACCTGATGCCATATGCCTCTCCTCATGCCCTGCCTCAGTACCACACACTGGTGTGCACACACCTGTCATTCCAGCCACTCCCAAGGCTGAGGATGGAGGATAGCAAGGTCAAGGTCTGCTTGAGTTAGAGTGACTCCGGGGCCAGCCTGGGCAACTCAGTGAGACCCTATCTCAAAACAAAACACGAGAGAGAGAGAGAGAGAGAGAGAGAGAGAGAGAGAGAGAATGCTTGGGATTTAGCTAAAGGTTATAGTACTTGCCTAGCATGTGCAAAGATATAGGTTCAAACCTGAGTATGATAACTAATAAATAAATAAACTGTACCTGTTCATCAATCCTTGTTTATCTTTTTGATGTAGTAAACTATGCCTTCCTTAGCAGGTATGCTGTGTGGGGTTGGTGCAGGCTTTATTACCTGCTCATCTGTATAGTTTTAAGCTTTAGGCTGAGTGTTCCCCAGACCCTGAGGGAGGACATCCCTAGAGACCAGATTGTTACACCATGTCTGGCCATCACAGCCCCACCTGAAATTTACAGAATCAAGTTCAAACTCTTCAGCTAAAGGCTGGCTGGATCTTGGCCACTTCACGTGCCATCTCCTGCACTGTAGGCTTCATTCACCTGCACCTCAGGTGAGATGCAGTTACTTAGAGGCAGCAGCTATGACTCAAGGCAGTGGTTCTCACAAAGTATAGTCCCCAGAGAAATTCATGAACATTCAACTCACAGATCTTCCTATGGCTGGTGTTTCATGCATCTTGCTTGAATAATCCTTCTCATACTTGATGTCAAGAAGACTGGAACTGGGGAGATAGCTCAGTTGGTTGCCACTCAAGTATGAGGATCTGAGTTCAAATCCCCAGCACCCACATAAAAATCTGAGTCCATAGGCTGGTCATGGTAGCATATACCTTTAATCCCAGTACCCGGGAGGCAGAGGCAGGTGGATCTCTGTGAGTTTGAGGCCAGTCTGGTCTACACATTGAGTTCCAAGTCAGCCAGGGTTATATAGTGAGACCCTAGCTCAGAAAAAAAGAAGCCAGGTGCAGCAGGGTATGCCTGTAATCCTGGACCCAAGGTGGTGGAGGCGGGAGGGTCCTTGGAGCTTGCTAGTTAGGTAGTCTTGCTAAATCAGTGAGCTCCAAGTTCAGTGAAAAACTCTTGTCTCAAAAAATAGGGTGGAAAGCGATTGAAGCACACACACACACACACACACACACACACACACACACGAGAACACACCAATGATTACAAAATTGCTAGTATTAAACATCACAAAGAAGTGAGGGAGAAGATAGGCTGGATAGCATCCAACCCTGAGGGTGTGTCCACTTGAGTGTGCCCTGTGAAGCTGGTCTTGTTCAGTGATGTGGTGTGGATGGGAGTTGAGCCTCCATCAACTCAGCAAGTATGTGCAGATGTCTAGCTTGGAGCAGATGCTGGCCGGGTGCTGGGAATGGCTCTGTGAGGCTGAGGGCATGGAGGGAGAATCTGGCTAACTGGCTTAAGAGAAGCAGCCTTCACATGCCATGTTAAACCATCCTCCCCCACCCGCCTCGTAGACCCCCCTCAGCCAGGCCCGGTTCTTCTGTGCTGCATGGAGAACAGTGCTGATACTTGTCCAGCTGGCTCAGACAGGGAAATTCTCCCCTCCCTGAGTCACCACAGACAGCAGGAGCTTTGAACAACAAGCGCTGGACTAGAAACGATCACTGAGCTTGTTTCGCTACGCTGCACCACTTCCCAAAATCCCCTGTGATGTGCTGGGATGAACTCTAGATCCAAAAACTTCCCCACATTTCCCCCAGTTTGAACAGAATCACATGCTACTTCATGAAGTTGACTTCCCCAAAGAAAATAAAAGACCTTGGACTGAAGATTCTGAACTTACGGTATGGAAAGGCAGACTGCTCCTCTGGGATATGGCCAACGGCCCCTGTCAATTTGCCTAAAGGGCAGGACCCACCGGATGACACAAGTCTCCACTTGCCTCCTCTAGCATTTCCTTCACCTCCCGTCTCATGCTAGGTACGGGAAGGAACAGTGCACAAGTCCCGACACCATGGCTGTGTGTCACTACTGCAGAAAATAGCCTTTCCTCAGCCACAGATGGTAACCATGGCTGGTAACACTCACTAGTGATACTGTGACAGGCAGTCTCCAGCAGTGACTTCCTACCTGTCTCTATCTTACCCTGCCCCATCACCATCACCTTCTTCCACTTACTTTCCCTCTCATAAGAATTCAGAACTCCAGGGGGCTGGAGAGATGGCTCAGCGGTTAAGAGCACTGACTGCTCTTGCAGAGGACCTGGGTTCGAGTCCTACCACCCACATGGTGGCTACGAATCATCCTTAACTCCAGTTCCAGGGGAATTTGAAGGCCTCTTCTGACCTCCGCAGCACTGCACGACACGGGTGCACTCACATACATGCAGGCAATACACTCGTACACACAAAATAATAAAAATAATAAGTAGACTGGGCGTGGTAGCGCACGCCTTTAATCCCACCACTTGGGAGGCAGAGGCAGGGGGATCTCTGTGGGTTCAAGGCCAGACTGGTCTACATAATGAGTTCCAAGACAGCTGGGGCTACAGAGAGACCCTGTCTCAAAGAGACAGGAAAAAAAAAAAAAAAGAATTTAGAACTCCAGGCTGGGCCAATGGTCCATGAAATCTGTAAACTCTGCACATACTACTGGCTGCTTGTGAATTTCCCTGGGGAAAGGATCCATTTGTTCTGACAAATCCTTGAAGGGATACGAGACGTTCAACCAAGTTAAGAACTATTGGACTACTCCCTCTTTATTTTAAGTTTTTTTAAGACTATGTCTATGCATGTGTGCCTGCTTGTCTGTTTGCACACCATGTGTGTGCAATGCCCACAGAGGGTAGAAGAGAGCATTGGATTCCCTGGAACTGGAGTTACAAGTTGTTGTGAGCCACCAGATATGGGTGCTGGGAACTGAACCCTGGTCCTCTACAGGAACAGTAGGCGCTCTTAACTACTGAGCCATCCTTCCAGGCCCCAAGCCCCCTTTAAATAGAAGTGTATCAGGTTGTTAAAGTTAATTTACACTAATCAGTTATGTATCTTTACATTTGATTTTAGCCCAAAGTGATGTTATTTATCTTTAGTTAATTTCATTTCCAAAACAGATATCTGGGTCCAGAGAATGTTTAGCTAAAACATATTTCTGATTAAAATATATCTCTATATGTATTTGGTTGGTTAAGAAAAAAAATGTGTATGTGTGTGGTTGTGTTTCTGCAGATGCACATGTATGTGCAGGTACAGATGCATATGTGTGCGTGCACATGTGGAGGCCAGAGGTCGACCGTGGGAGTCATTCCTCAGGTGCCACCCACCTACTTTTTTGAGACAAGCTCTCCTCACTGCCTTGCAGCTCCAGGATCCTGTCTGTGCCTCCTAACACTGAGATTACAGGCGGGTGTCATCACAGCTGGCTTTTACCTGGGTTCTGAGGATCAAACTCAGGTCCTCATGCTTGTGTGGCAGGCCAGCACTTAGCTGATTGAACTATCTCCCCAGCTCTGGCTGCTTGTTTGTTGAAACAGGATCTCACTCTGTAGCCCTGGCTGGCCTTGAAGTTATGGTATTCCTCCTGAGTACTGGAATTAGAGATATGCACTACCCTGCTCAGCCAACACACACACCCAACACACACACACACACACACACACACACACACACACACACACAAAAAAAAAAAAAAATTTAGGGTCAGTAGAAACCTGAGCAGAGGATGACTTAAGCTACCTCCTTTCCCCTGAGGCCACTGTGACTATTTACGTCAAAAGAGACACAGGCATTGCTTACATGAGCCTAACCTCTGCAGGGCTGAGAAACCCTAGCCCCCACCGAGGCCGCCAAGACCCTAAGAGAGAAGAGAACATTCTTGCCATGGCTCAGGGGCCCAGGAACTCTGTTTCCACCATCATGTCAGACTGTCAAATGGGAGAATGTGTCTGGAGTGCAGGCTCCCCCAGCAAAGGGCTGAGTCCCCAGGAGACCTATGTGGGTTACATCCTGGTCTCTGCGTGTCCCAGATGACAAGATACAGCTGCTTGTGGGAGAGAAGTCTGAGGCCTCCTCCTCTCTCCCACTGTTCTCTCTAGAAGCCAGAGACCCGCCCCCAAGCCCAGTCAGGAGGAAGCGATTCTGCAAGGCCTCCTTGGAACTCCCAGGCTGCTTCAAGGCACTAAACTGTTAAATAATTGAGATTTTTTTCCCCAATGTTTTCAGAAACTGTTGTTTACAAAGATATAATCACCCAAACTGTTTATGTGATCCCTGGACAGTCTGTGCAGACATGGTTCATCATTCATAAGTACAATCAGGACTTAAAAGTGGAGACATGGTTGATCAGAGTGGCTGTCACAGAGCTCTTCCAATGCCTGTCCAACCTAGTTCTGTAATTCCCTCTGATTTCTTTTTCATTCGCTTTTCTCCTTTCTGGATTTTCCTTTTCCAGGTGTCCGCTGCTCCACATCACACACCCTTGACAGGCACTGGGAACATGAACACTGGCTTCCTGACACCGACAATCTGCTTACAAGCCAGCTCTGAAATAGAGGTTTTTTGAATTAGATCATAAATGCTGGGGTTCATTTGACAGCATGACAGTGTTCTATTCTTATAGACCCTCAGTTTCTACACGTGTGGGGTCTGCTGCCTCCCTACTGTCCTCTCTGGAGGAAGGCGTCAGTCTATCTGGTCTAACTCTCAGAGTGAAATCTTTGGCTCTGTGGCCTCAGAATCTATAAGGTCCCTGATACTCAACTTCAAGGGGAATGAAGAATTCCTGGGGACAATCTCAGAGGGAATGTGAGAGCTGGCCTTCCTGCTAGAGTCACCTTGGGGTCTCTGTGACTAGTGCTGGGAATCTGACTAACACCCACACTTACAGGGACGCACTCTCTTCTGTACTATCAAGGCTGGGTTAACAGTGGTTTGGCCCACTGACCTTCCTAGTACAAAGGAATCAGATGAGAGCTAGGCTTCCACCACATGTACCATTGGGTAACACCTGGGGTCTGTGCTACAAACCTCAAAGAACTCCTAACAACTGTCAAGGGAGTGCCAACATCCAAGCCAAGCCTACCTCCACCTGTGCTGACACCTTACTCAAGAAGGTGGAGCCCGGGGCAGCTCTCACATTTGAATGGACAAATCCCTGGTTTCCCTCTGCAGCCACAGCTTGGAGGAGAGGAGGGCATGGCCACGCCAGTTCTAGCCTCCTTGCGCCAAGGAACCTCTTGGCACATGGAAAGGAGGATGGAGAGTCAGGCCACCGGCTCTGTTCTGTTATCGCCAAGGTCCTCATCCCCACCCAAGCCTTGATGTTGCTTCCCGCCATGCCTGACCCAGAAGTTCTCCACAGGTCCCCTCCCAGGGAAGTTCTTTAACTGGAGGGTGTGGGAAAGAGGAAGAGGAAAAATACCATTTCCACCCTTCCAACTTCCCCCACCTCATGTCCCCAGTCAGAAAATGATTACTCATCAGCCCTGGAGAGCTCATCCCAGGTATCAAAATAGCTCTTCTGACCCCAAAATGACTAATGTGAAAAACATGTACTCTCATCTCATGAAGGTGTGATTGAAAAAGGGACCTGTTTGACCAGAGCCAATGCAATGATTACTTAAAACAACAACAAACAAAACACAGACATCAGAAACACTGGGTTTCCCAGCCATGGAGGAAAACAGAGGAAGACATTTTCTAGTCTTAAAAGTTTGACTTGGCAGCAGGCTGGGTGACCCCAGCCATGGTAAACTCTGTCCTCACCCCTCAACCTTGGTCCGCCCATGAATCACCCTCTCCCTCCCTCCCACATGAGGCTGCTCCCACAGGAGGAGTTAGACCATCCAACCAACATTTATTGGCCGTTGCCTGAAAGCTTCAAACCCATTCTGGAAGCTGGAGTTCTGCAACCTCAAGGCCCGTGGGGAGGAGCTGGGGAAACGGCTTTGTCAGCATTACTGTGTGTTTGCATGGTGCCAGGTTTAGAGGTTAGAAGGGCAACAGTTATCTGAGAGAAAAAAACTAGACAAGGGTTGGTTGTGGTGGCTCATACCTATAACCTTTCCACTCAACGGGCTGAGGAAGGAGGATGCAAATTTGAGGCCAGCCTGGGCTACACAGCAGGACCTTGTCTCAAAACCAACCAGCCAACCAATCAACAGTAGCTAAGATGATCCACCTTAGAAAGTGCTAACCTAAAAATTGTACTGCAGGAATAGGGAACAGTTAATTCTCCAGAATGGGGTCAGGAGGTTACAAATTGAGCTAGATGTTGAAAAACATATAAAGATTTATGTTGGTATCACTGGGGAGGAGCAACATTCCAGGCAGAGAAGACTGAGACTCACTAGCAGAGGTTAGGTTTGGGGGTGGGATGGAAGGTTGGTGGGATGACTGACTTGTGGTCAGGCCTGTGGCACCAGAGCTTGGGGTCAAGCAGGGAAAGGGGGATAAGGCTAAAATCAGTGTGGCTACGGTGACCACCACACCTACGGCTTTGGGATCTGTGAACCTCTCAAGTCAAGGCTGAGTCCTCCAGGCAGCCCCCTGCCAGTGGCTAGATGTTCTGGGTCTGTCTGTTTCTACCCTGGGCAAAGCTCCAGGGGAATCTGCCTACAGTCCTCACTGGGTTGGTTGGGACCTTCTCCCAGCTGCAGGAGGCAATCTGAGATGGCCTCTTCTTCCCTCCCCTTCTTTCCAGGAGCTAGCTGGTGACTGCTCTCAGAGTTGCCCTTTCTCTGCTCCTTTCTCCTACTTTATCAGTGAGTCTTTGCAGGCAGTTCCAGCTGCTTGCTGTCCGCTTCCCAGGGGGCCTGAAACTGCCTGAGGGGCTGGCCAAATGGATTCTTGGGTAAAGGTACTTGCCGGGTGAGCCTGAGAACCTGAGTTGGATCTCCAGATCTCACATAAAGGTGGAAGGAGCGATCTGACGCCACAAGACTTGTTCCTGATCTCCACATACATCCACACAAAACAACAAAACACATGTAAAAGTGGCCGGGAAGGAGCAGAGGTGGATGTTCAGAACCTGCTGGCAGTAAAAAAGCACCAAAGTGTTTTAATCAGCAGGCTACAGCCAGGTTTGAGTGTTATGAAGATAATTCCCGAAGTGGGATGACGATGAGCTGGGGTCGCAGGGGGCAACTGGAAGCATGTACTGCCTTTTGATTTTGTTGTTGTTTCAACATCTTTCCTCTTTTTATCAATTTAAATTTTTTTCCAACATATAATACATCTTTGCACTTTGCTTATACTGACCCCTCTGTCATCCACCCGTCTCATTGGTCCTTATACTGACCCCTCTGTCATCTACCCGTCTCATTGGTCCTTATACTGACCCCTCTGTCATCTACCCGTCTCATTGGTCCTTATACTGACCCCTCTGTCATCCACCTGTCTCGTTGGTCCTTATATTGACCCCTCTGTCATCCACCTGTCTTGTTGGTCCTTATACTGACCCCTCTGTCATCCACCCTCCTCATTGGTCCTTATACTGACCCCTCTGTCATCCACCCTCCTCATTGGTCCTCCAACTATGGCCCTTCTGTCACCATAGCTCATACATATACATATTTACGTATAGTTAAATCTAGAATCAATGTGAGTGAAAGTATGTGATATATTGATTTTCCTACCTGCCCTTCATTCTTTAGAACCCTACTCTCCCTGTCTCTCTTCTTTCTACAAGTAAATATAACTTAGTCTATAAGTAATTAGAAAAATAGAACAGTCCTCGTAATAGCTTTCCTGAGATACTAATATAAACTCCTTATAGTTGGGAGTGATGTCAGTGGCCTGGCCTAGTTAACAGCAATTAAAGACCAGCTAGACTGACATTGGCTGCAGGCAGTGAAGTGGTAGAAGCCCAGTACTACCTCAGGTGGTGGTGGCTGGGAGGACATGGGAAGGAGGGAGGACCATGTGTGGAGTGTGCTGGTCTCCAGGAGGCTCAGGCCAGGAAGAGCGGTATGAACAAGAGGGGATGCTGACCTCTGTGCTATAGCTTAAGAAAGTAGTGGGGCTTAGAAACTTCCAACCCACAACAGATTAAAAATGTACTGAGTGTGGTGGCGCACACCTGTAATCCCAGCACCAGGGAGGTAGAGGCAGGAGAATCAGAAGGCTAGCCTCAGCTACATAGTAAGTGAGTTTGAAGCCGTCCTGGGCTACATAAGATCCTGTCTTAAAACAACAAGAAGAAACTTTAAAAAAAGATTAAAAAATGACAAATAGCATTCACCAAGGCATGACTGACTGCATACAGTGAAACCATCCAAGACATTAGAAAAAGTCGAGTGCATAATCATGTGATACAAGTAGAGGAGTTTAAACAAAAGTACATTTTTAAGAGTCTGGAAATTTTGAGCTGGGTTTAGTGGTGCATGCCTATAATCCCAGAACCAGTAAGGAGGAGGCAGGAGGATCACTATAAGTTCCAGATTAGCTCAGACACAACATGAGATGTTGGAGACCTTGTCTCAAAACAAAACAAAACAAAACAAAAACCCCCAACAACCTGAAATTTTTATCTACATGAAAAATAAACACCAACACTTTAAAAACTCAGACAAAATCTAAACACAAGCAAAACTAGAGTATTCATAGTAAAATTTACAGATATGGAATAGCCTTCATACATAAAATATACATACCAATAATGAAAAAAAGTTCCAAATGACAAACAGAACATTATGTATTTGTTAGAATCTGGCTCAGCTATATAAAACAGAAAATAATAATGACTTAATCAAGACAGAAATTTCACTCTCATATTAAAAACAAAAAACAGGCTGGAAGTTGTCATTCTAGGGTTGGTGTACTGACTCAGACGTCATTATCAGGAGTGTAGATTCCTAAGAGCTCATGTAATGTAAGCTAATGTAAGTTCCCCTTTTCACTGCTCATGGTGGTTGCTAGAGTGCCAGCCATCACACAGTCCTTTAAGCGTGTGGGATGGGGTCTGGTAAGAAGGCTCAGCAAGCAAGGGCATCTGCCACACAGCCTGACAACCTAAATCTGATCCCTAGAACCTTTGTGATGGAAGGAGAGACTCCTGTAAATTGTCCTCTGACCTCTACATGCCTGCCTAGGCACTTGAGCACCCCCCCCATTTAAAAAAAAATAAAAACCCTTAAAAAGAAAAGATTTTTGAAAGATCAACCTTTTGGGGCATGCTCCAGGACTGGCGAGACAAGGCAGGAGCAGACAGCTGCTATGAGCTGCGTTCCAGGGTCTAAAAGGCCCTTTGGCCTACTGGGCATCTCAAAGGCCCAGCAGCAACTTCCTGTCCATTGTCCCCAGAGTCTCCCTCCAACCCCAAGTGACATCACATTCTAAAAATGCTGGGAAGTAGAGAAAATTCTGCACCCAGGGAGTCTCTAACTGAACAAAACCTACAATTAAATTTTAGGTGTTTTTGAAAGTTCCTTAAAAAAAAGTAATATCCTTATGCAAACTGAATCAGCAGTTTCAAAACTTTAAAAAGTACCGCGGCCCTAGTTAGGGTATCAGAGCTGAGCTGAAGGACCAGAGCTGTACTGCATCTCAGCCCTGTGGAAGACTCAAGGGTACCGCAGTTCTCAGGAAACCTCAGGTCACCTCTTTTGGCCAGTTCAGGACTTTGCTTCAGCCCTCAGGGGCTGCGACGTCAGCAGAGAGCTTAGCGAATGAGGGCTCGAGGCCTAGTTTAACGGGCCTGGTATCCTTTCTCCACCTCCGCCACCTTCTTTACTAGCAGTTCCAATTTTCATACTTTCAAAAGATAGTTGTGGGGAGAAAAAAACAGCAAAGGAAACTGATACGTGGACTCTGGAGGTGGTTTTAGTGTGTGGGAAGCCCTCTAGCCCAATGCCAAGGCTCACACTGGAACACCTGGAATTGAGACCCAGCTCTGCTATGCACCCTCGCACGGGTTGCTCAACTTCTCTGAGCCTGGGGTTTGTGGTTTTACAATGGAGACGATAGTCTTCTCCTCATAAAGCCCTATGGTCAGGTCTAGTAGGAAACAGGAGGCATGCTCAAGTGGGTGCTGCTTACAAAGGTGTGGGAGGGGCTGCAGGCAGCCGGTAAGGGCCAGTGAGGCACTTGGAGGCTAGCAACAGTGGGGACAGCTATCACCTGTAGCTTGATGACACGTGAAGGAAGGGAAGGGGTTAGAGGACTCAGAGAAGGGGGCTGTTGGGAGGGGCACCTGGCAGGAGCCATGGGCTCCAAGGGGGAGGATGCAGGGGAATGGAGGCCAAGAGAAAGAGACTCCTTATTAAAAATTACATTTGTGTGTGTGTGTGTGTGTGTGTGAGAGAGAGAGAGAGAGAGAGAGAGAGAGAGAGAGAGAGAGAGAGAGAGAGAGAGAGAGAGAGAGAGAGAGAGAGAGAGAGAGAGAGAGAGAGAGAGAGAGAGGAGAGAGGGAGGGAGGGAGAGAAATATAGGCATTATGGTGTATGTGTATGGCTAGAGGACAACTTGCGGGAGTTGGTTCTCTTCCATGAGGGTCACTTGAACTCAGGCCGTTAGCCTTGGTGGCAAGCACCTTCACCCACCAAGCCATCTCACCGGACCCAAGGGGAATAAACTTTGACCTCATCTTCTTCTGTTCTTGGATCTCTTGCCAGTGTTCTCCGTTAGCCAAAGCTGACCAGAAGCCAGAAACCAGGGAGACAGGTGGCCAGGGTCTTTGGTTGGCTCTCAGCATAGGGCATATGGTGAGGGTGGAAGAATCTTCAGGGACGAATGGAAGTTTCAGTGAAGGAGAGATATGTGATGAGCTTGGCACAGTGCCTGGAACATAGTAAGTTTGCAGGTCTCAGCACAGGGACATTTATTTTGGACTTTGTTCTCTCTCTCTCTCTCTCTCTCTCTCTCTCTCTCTCTCTCTCTCTCTGCTTTATTTCCTGGTTTGCAACAGAATGGTTGAGGTGACTTAATCAGGCATCATTATCTTTGTTGGAGTAAGGAACGATGCATGTGTTAAAAAGAAGCTCTGGGAACTGGAGGTTAGACTGGAGAACAAAATATAGGGTTAGGTTAGGGAAAGATGGAGACGGCCATGTGTTCCCCAGCAGGCTGGAACAGCACACAGGATTATCTTGCTTTAAAGTCAAATTATGCGTTTACTGGGCTGTGATAACAGCTCCTTTATAATTTTACAACCCAATGACTTGCCTAAAAGGGATTTGGCAAAGGTCTTCTTGACCTAAAAACCTTATGTTTGTCTCTACACTAACAGGCTGGAACTCAGCATCCCTCTCACAGAGAACCAACCTGTCAGATGTGTTCCCTGGGTGTTTGCCTTCCCGTGCATTTACATCCTGGGGCTGGTCTCTCTTCTATTCTGACTGAAGTGCCTGCTCAGTTCTCCAAGGGGCTGGCTCTCTGGAGGAAAGGGGGCCCAGGAGTGGTCTGAGCTGCAGTTTGTAAAGTGTCCTGTCCTCAGCTCTTCACCTACTGCTGTCTTGGCCAGGTAGGTGGCCCGGTGGGAGGCTATCTCAACTCCACAAACTATTCTTGAGTGTCTGGCTGAGACACACAGCATCCAAGGGCTTCTGTGATTGGTCCCAGTAGCTATCCATCTCAAGACTCCCCGACAGCATGCTTTTCTGTTCCATTTGCCCTGCCCTCCAACTTCTCTCTACCTCAGTAGACCCTTTCTCTTTCTCCAGCTTAATCTCACCCCATCCTTCAAGATGGCTCAGGAGTCATCTCCTCTGGGTGTCTTTCCTCAGAGCCTGTGGGGGAGGGGGCGTGTCGGGAAGCCCTTTTGACCTCTCCTATTAGCCTGTGATTCTGTCTTACCGAGCTGCTTTCTGTAGTTTTCTAATTAATTCTTGGACACACTGAGCACCTCTTGAGGACTTAGTCCTGGTTCCAGCACCACCCAGTGGAGTGCCTGACACTCTGAGAACACCCAATAAAAAGGCTCACCAAAGGGATGTTACCAAAGGGATGTTTAGGAAATTATTCAGAAAATAGGAAAAGTGTCACATGCCCCAGAGTGCCAAGCTGTCTGTCTGTCCTAGAACATTGTTCTTTCCCACTCTGGTTCTCCTGCACCCACAGATGGGACAGGAGACCATTTTGTTCCTTCTGACTCTGCTCTCCTTTTCAGGTAGCCCTCCGCCTGTCCCTGGCTTCCCAGTCCAAAGTAGTTCCTCAGTCCCTTGGTGACACATCAGTGTGTTGTAATTTGCTGGACAACATTACTGCTAGCACATTTAAAAAAATTTTTGAGGGGCTGGAGAGATGGCTCAGCAGTTAAGAACACCAACTATTCTTGCAGAAGACCTGGGTTTGAATCCCAGCACCCATGTGGCAGCTACGCACAACTGTGCGTAACTCCAGTGCCAGGGGATCCGATGAGCTCTTCTGGTATCTGCAGGCATTGCATGAATGGGTGCACTTACATACATGCAGGCAATACACACATACACATAAAAATCACAAATAAAATATTAAAAAAATTTTTTTGAGATAGGGTCTTATGTAGTCCAGGTTGGCCTCAAATTCATTATGTAGCCAAGGATAGCCTTGAGCTTCAGATTCTCCCATCGCTTCCTCCCAGTACTGGGATTATGGGCATGTGCTGCCATGCCTGGTTTATATGGTCCTGGGGATTGAACCCAGGGCTTTGTGAAGGCTAGGCAAGGACTCTATCAGCTGGGTGACATCCCTGGTCCCTAATGTCTCATGTCTATGTTTGTTTTCTAGTCCCACCACTCAGCTGTAGCTGTAATTGAGCAAGGGCTAGCCCAGTACCTAGCACATGTGAGGCTCCTAGTGAGGTGTTCAAACATTTGTTAGATGGATGCATGCTGCTGTTACTGCGGGCTAATGTCATTGAATGTGTGTCTCCAGAGAAACCCAGAAGGGCCCAGGCAGCCACATCCGTCAGTACTGGAGGTTGGGAAGGAGCGCCTCAGTCCCCTTCCCAGGTGGGATGTGCTGACTGCTGCTTTCTTGTGGCCTGGACTTCCTCACCAGGCCTGATGCATGGGAACCCCTGAGCAGGCCTCATCTGGAAATGCTTCCAGCTCTCTGTGGCAGAGCTGAGGTTGCAGAGGAACGTGCCGAGAGCTTCAAGCTGGCCCAGCAGCCAGCAGCAGGCAGAGCAGGATGCACACGGCTGACTCTTTTGCCACCTCTCCGCCCTGAGAGTGCACAGAGCTGCTTGGCTCAGGGCAGGAACCACACCCTCTCTCTAGTTGTCCAGACAGGTTGGTCTCTGCTGTGCCCCATACAGGGTTAATTTTTTCTGTAGGAGCTGGGACCTTGCCCCAGCCTCCCAGGGCCCTGCAGGAACTGTTCTGCCAGCTCAGCAGAGGGCCTGGTCTGGAATCTCTCTCACCTGCCCTGGCCCTTCCTTGAAGTGCTCTGGTTTACTGGAAATCATAAACCAAGACACAGACTGCCTTTATCACACTCTGACCGTGTGCTCTTTAATAGTTAACACTGGAGGCTCAAAGAACCAGAGACGCTGGCCTCCCGGTGACTCCCAGTGACTTGTGTTTGCACCTGGTAATTGAGGTTGGGTTTGCTTCTTTTAAGTCACATGGTTTGCTTCAGGGCAGGAAGGTGCTGGGGCCACTTGTTGCAAAGAGACCAGAGGTGATCACAGAAATGCTGCAAACGAGGAGCCTGAGCCTTCGTGTGGAGTCTGGGAGTTCCAGTGAACTAGCTCTGGGAGATGGGCTGAGCTGCCTTGTCGGAAATACCCCTCCCCGCCAGAATCAACCCCAGCATCCCCCTCAGAGAAAACTCAGCAAGTGTTTCCCTCTAAGACAGGTGGTTGAGGTAGGGACCTTATGGGGTGGTCTGCCCCACAAAAGAAGAAATATGTCCTGTTTTAGAATATTCCAGAAAAAATTGCTGGAACCATGACAAACACTCTCTGGAGGAGGGTAAGGAATGGATTAACCAGTTAACAAACTGATTAAGCATGTTGGACAGCCACATAAAGAACACAGGTCACTGAAGGGTTCCTGAATCACAGTATGGCCCCACCTAGCCAGACACCTAATCATGCTCCAACCTTTGCTTGATCTCAGGTGTTTATCTTCTGGTTGTCATGGAAGCTGCCCATATAAACAGCAGCATAGCTAACCTGGCTCCGCTGGCAGCCTCAGGCTCTTCTGAGCACTGGGGCTCCCTGGTGGCCACTGGTCACCTGGGCTCGGGCTGCCCAACAGCAACTTGCTCGCTGGGGTCTCTCGAGACAGAGTAGATGCTTAGTGAATAGGGTGTGTTCATTTTCAGATCACTCCATGTCTGGGACTGTAGACCAAGTGACAGTGACAGTGGCCTTTGACACAGCTTGTTGAGTGGCCTACTGGCCACAGACCACTTGCTCTGCTCCCCAGAGGCAGATGAATGCAGACTTGTGATGAAGACACCAGCAGCAGTCAGACAGCCCAGCCAGAGGGCAGGTGGGGAAGATGCCTGGCTGCCACCGGAGCTAGATGGCACCACCACAGCCCTGGTGGCGGCCAGGCAACCACCTGCAAGCCAGTGGAACATCACCTTGCTGTCTGTGCCTCTGTTTGTAGCAGAAGACCGAGCACACCCTCACACTGGACCCTCCTAACTCTCGAGAACAGACAGTTGGCCTCATGGACACTGCAAAGGGTCTGTCCCATCCCCCACACCCAGACCCTAAAATAGCCGTCGAAAGAGGAACCAGCAGTTTTCTCTGGAATGTTCTAAAACAGGACAGAGTCCCCTATTTTGATGCATTGCTGGGTCTAGAAAAGGGGAGGGAGAGAGAAGACTACCTGACTTCTCAAGGTCACCACTTCAACCACTGCTATGTGAGGGGGCAGTGCAGAGGCCGGGTGGACACTGGGGTGAGGCTTATGAGCTCAGGCGTGCCCCAAAGCTGCAGGCTGTTACCCGTTTCTTCATCTAGACCTATGTGGATCAAAAGGGATACTTACCCCAAACTTTCAGTATTATAAACCTTTGATTCTTATCTATTTATTAATTTTCTTGTGTGTATATGTTTGGTGTATAAGCATATGTGTGTACCCGTGACTCCTTTATGCACATGTGTGGAGGCTGGAGGAGGACACTGGGTACCCTGCTCACTCTGTTTTATTCGCTGACAGGGTTTCTCCTGGAGCCTGGAGTTGGGCTGACGGCCAGGAGACTCCAATGATCTCTTGTCTCTGTTACAGAGGTGTGCGTGCCACACCTGACATTTTAAGTGGGTGCTGAGATCTGAACTCTGGTCTTCGTGCTTGCTCAGCAAGTGCTCTTGGGCCTGTTGAGCCATCTCTCCAGCCCCACTTCATTCACTTTAGCTGTATAACCTGTTTTCCCTTCTGAGGATACTTAACTACACAGAATCTTGAGATGTTGGGAAATGTAGCATGGCATCAACTTCAGTGGATTCCATTATCCACCCTGGGCAACGAGAATCTCTGGAAATCGTAGTGTGGCAGGGGGCAGGCAAGTTGGCTCATTAGGTAAAGGGGCTTGCCACCAACCCTGATGACCTAACTTCAATCCCCAGGACTTCTGCAAGTTGTCCTCTGATCTCCACACACATGATGTGGCACACATACACACAAATGTAATAATAATTAAAAAAAAAAAAAACATGTGGTAAAGAGAGCTCTGAGATCTTTGGTTTTGTCAGTTTAGAAACTGAATTATAGCAGATGTGCAGCCTGCAGAAGGCTGGGCCACACCCACAGGCTGTTTCTACTCATAGAAACAGCCTAGAGTCACTGATGTACTAATAATAATGGTGTTTAAAAAGAAAACCAGCGTCTAGGTGCAGGCAC